CTTTAGGGAATTTAAAACAAAACAAATGCAGTGTGGGGGGGAAACACCAGTGGCTACCAGACACGGTTTAAAATGAAATGGATGTTCAAATAAAATGGTTGAATCTCGATTTTTTTTTAAATTCCACAAACAGCCAACACTGTTCAGACGTGTCTCACCTTGCAGAACTAAACCAGAGGGATTTCAGATTGAAAAAAATGCAGAAGTTAAAAGCTATCACATGTCCAAAACAAGCAAAAAAACACTGCTTTGATTTAAAGACACGAATCTCGTCACTTTAATCAGAGATTCACGATATCGTAACTCCTTGCCACAGGTACTTAGAAAGAAGCCCTCCAATGTCTTTCCACAGTGGTTTTAGTCCAACGGCTTGAGGGGGCTTTGCAGTGTCTCTGCGGCCGTCTGGAACGCTTTTCCTTCTGATATTTGGACGCCGCTGGTGCGATGCGCTTGTACATCTGGATTGAAAACTAATTTCTTTAGAACTGCTGTTTGTGTTTGGTTTGGTTCGTTGTCCTTCCCCCCGCGGTTGGCTCTACATACACATTACCGTAGTGTACCAACGTCCAGAATGTGTGTAAACAAATCATACCGGACTGGTTTTCACCTTCAGGTTCTCATCAGCAGAGATTGTATTGGTAAGGGCCCTGTAGACACACGATGGCACCCTATTTCATGCAATACCAAGACTGCATTAAAAAAACATGCATTGTTGCGGAGCACTATGGATTCTATGAAACCTTAACTCAGAAATGTATCTAATAAACATTACCTGTACATCCTAGGCTGTTTATCTAATCGTGCAATGATTATGTTCATTATATGATTAAAGTAACTTAATTTTCGCTTTTATTTAAAATATATTTTGACCATGCCAACGTATCAAAGTGTAGTATTCTGGGTTGGACCAGTTTTGACTGCTTTATTTGATGAGACTAGACACTGATGATTATTAAATTAACCCCACAAACGAAGACTCAACTACAACTCCAGAGTTTGTAGTCAACTAGACGAAAACAAAATAATAGTATAAAAAAATTAAAGCTGACAGTGTATTGTAATTAATTTTTCATTTCCTTATTGCAGGCCGGTCATGTGATTTAACACATAGATTACTTCCCCTAGAAATACCCTTATAGTTAGAACATCTGTGGCAAACTTTTACCAGTGTTCATTGAAAATTAGCAGTCGTCGAACTTTATACATGCTTGGTTAATTTATTTTGTCTAATTTAAGTTCGCTTGACCATTTGGCAAATGGAGTTTTGTTGGTGTGTCACGGGAAGACCGCAGTAGCATCGTTGCTCTGTAGACGGAGTGATCGATGATCGATGTGCGGTCGCCGCGTCGATGGCATTCGTCGCGATTTCTCACTTTAACAGAGTGGGCCTCGTGAAGGCCGCCGTCTTCCACTCCAAGAGACTGCGGTGCTCGTGTGGCATTATGGGGACAGTCGTGCACAAATGTGTAGATTGCCCAGCGGTAGAGCAATCAGTCAAATAATCCCAGGGCCTCCGAATTCAAATCATGGTTGGGGGTCGACTCCACCTGTCAATGGGCACTACCTTTGGGGAAGTCGACAATGGTTGCCCTATGGAGAGACTCACCCCCGCAATAGGATTTTCGGAATCTCCGCCGGTTTCTCTGCAGGGCTGTAAATAGAAGATGATTACCATCAATACCTCGACGCTCATTTAAGCAGTAAATCACTTTGACTTGCACTGGGTGGAGGACTATAAAATAAATATTATTTAGTTTTAAGTCGAACGGTGTTTGTTCTCCGGAGACACTAGACCCACCGTGGGAACAAGCAACCTTTCGTTACCGACTCAAGTCCACTAAATAGAGGTGAGCATAGCCTGATGCTTAAAAAAACAAATGCATTGGTGATACGAGAGAAGAATTCAAAGCGACCATGAGAACATGTGAACTCCGAATAGAGTGTATGCAGCCGCCAGGGTCAGGAGAACAAAGATCCCCGTGCCGCCTGTGACAGACTGTTGGGGCAAGAGCTGCTAGCGAGCAGCACCTATAAAGGCCAGAACGGCACACGAGGGGGTGGGTGACCAGCACCACGCTCGGTCGCCTTTGTCTCCCCAAAGGCGATGATTAAACACCGCACCGGGTACTCATTTGATGCTGAGTCGACCTAGGGGAGGCCCAGGAGTGGTTCAGATCATCGTCACTGATTTTTGCCGTGAGCGGGAATCGAACTCGGGTGGCCAGGTTCGTAGCGCAGCGTAGCGCTAACCGCTAGAACCCACTACTACCTCCTGCATACCAGGTGATGGAGATAACATCTCTTTCCTTTGAGAACGAGTTTTTGTTGTTGGTATGTAAATATTGAAAGGCAGACAATAACAAAAAAAGACTGCGCACGATGCTGAACGTTTTTGTTCCCTTACATTGCACTGCGCCTTGGGAGTTCCACAGAGTTGATAAAATCAAGGAGTTTTCAAGAGCGTGCCATGAAAAAAGGGAGCAACTGTAGTACCACAGGAAGAGTCTGGTTTCTCCCTACCCCGGACGATAGCGTTGTAACAGTGTGACATGGGCCGTTAATATCCCTGCGTTTGCACAATCGATTTCACAGATCAGCCGGACGTTGTCGCGACGGTTATCCATTGCAGAAGTCGGAAAGTCCCTCTTCGCATTCCTGGAATGAAGCCAAGTAGGGGTTGTTTTTTTCTTTCAAATTTACAAAGCAAGTTGGGAAAACCCCAAACCACAGCAGGGAGCGGGAGACGGATACAGCAACAGCCCTTGCTAGGAAGAGCCTGACGATAACAAACAACGCATTTGGCACCTCAGTAGTAGATACGCATTGTGTCTCGGTTATGTCTGAAGATACATGTGGACAAGACGCGCAGGTTTGACAGGCACACTTGAATGCAATGCGACTTGTGATATTATCTTGTCTTTAAGGGTACCGTGTACTCGCCTGGAACAACTGGCACACTTGACGCATCTGCAGCACGTTTGAACCTTGGTTAAAAAAAAAACTGTTCTCGTGTACTGTCTACGACGTTAACTACGAAGCAGCAACGAAACAAGCTTGAAAAGAACGTGATGACAACATCATTAAATTGCATTATGTGAGCCATGCGGCTCTTGAATCGGGTGCAATCGCAACAAACAAAAATATGAACAAGAAACATCTTAAAGTGACTACGCGCAACAGAAAAATCCAGGAAAAAAACAGCAAAAGTCTTCCAGAAACCCCGGCTGGTGAAGGGTGATAATTGGTGATCAGGCGGACCGATCTCTCTCTCTACGGCGGAATCATTCACACGGCTGAGTGACATCTCCCCCTCTAACGCGAAGTCGATCTTGAACGTTCTGCGAGCCACAAAGAGGCAGTCAAAGACACGCTGCTAACACTTAGGGGCCGTCCATAAATGACGTCACGCACCTGGGGGGGGGGGGGTCAGACATTTGTGACGATATGTGACGAGGGGGGTTTGAGAAATGTGACGTCACATCAAAATGCGCAACTTTAAATAAATATAGACAACACGTTCTACTTAATGTTTTCTCTCCTACAACATCAGAGTGCAGCGCCACATTAAATACGCACTACAATGACAATAGTTTTAAGCGATTTGAAGCATGTTTTATATTTTTGGGGAGGGGGAGGGGGCAGAACTTTGTGACGTCATATTTGAGGGGGCGTCTGACTTTTTGTGACGCCGTGTGGCGAGGGGGGGGGTGGTCAAAAATCGTCCAAAATCGCGTGACGTCATTTATGGACGGCCCCCTATTAGTTATTAGGGTGCCCTAAACAAGGGGTTCTCAACAACCGGGGTGACGCGGACCTCTGGTGACGTGGCATTGTCCCAGGGGCCACACGTGAGGTGATTTGTAAACGAGTGGAATTATATCGCACGCGAGAGTCACTGGTGAATAATCACGCATATGTAAGTTAAGTACGATCAAATGTTAATCCATATGGTAATCTGGAACGACATTAAAGACCTTTCTAAACTCAATGATCGTAAGCAACGTGGTTTTCAATATTGCGTCACGCGTGCCTTTTGTTATTCGCTTGCAGTTACTCGCTAGTTAGGATCACCTCACAAAATGGACAATTGGTTAAAATATTGACGTTTATTTAATCCATACCTTTAATTTCTCAGAACAATGCTGGGGCAGGCAAGGAGGTTGAAACAAAATTCAACAAGGGGGTTAAAGTAGTAGCCAAATAAAGGTTCAGAACCACTGCTCTGCAAATCCCTTGGACACAGACCATTTGTTTCTTATATATTTTTTTCAACTTTAAGGCAGCGTTGTTGATGAGTGTGTTGAGTTTCTTAATTGTGCTTGTGCCCCACTGCATAGAATGTAACTAAAAAGCAGGCATTAAGAGACCTTATTTCTCCATAACCAGTTGCCGCTAGGATTAAAACCGTGTAAATATAATACATGAAGCTGACAAAGAAAACGCTGTTTTAAGTTACCAAACTAAATTTGTCCAAAGGCAAGTCACTGTGAATTCCTCCTCAAGTGAACATTGAAGCAACGCTAATCTACTAATCTCACATATACTGTACAGCCCTGAGACCTGTGGTACGGTACGGTGCTAAAGAGGTTCAATATACCCACACACACACACGTAGCCTACCGTGCTAAACGATATATAAGTTAAATATGCGTACGTACGACTGCCTATTGTTTGCAAGTCACGGTCTCGAGGCAGCGAAAATTAATCATAATGTTGCCTTTCGCAATCAAATATCACCCATCCGTGCAAACCCCGTTCTTTCCATCACGAGTTAATTTTTCTCAACTTTAAGGCAGCGTTGTACAAACCCCGTTCTTTCCATCACGAGTTAATTTTTCTCAACTTTAAGGCAGCGTTGTACAAACCCCGTTCTTTCCATCACGAGTTAATTTTGGCATGGAGTTTCAAAAAAATTCCCCCGCTCTCTCCCTCTCTCCCTCTCTCGCCCTCTCTCTTCCACGTTCACGACGTCGCGTGGGAGGCGATGAGTGACGTTGAGTCGCCGCACCACCACCACCACCACCACAACCAAACCACACGCCCTCCCTCTTCCCTTCTTAACTCTCACCACGAGCGCACCTCCGCTTAATTCTCTTCCGAGCTCGCAGTGCGCGCGTCCCCCACTTCGCCGCCGTTCGCCGCCACGACGATGATGACCACGACGACGACGATGATGATGATGAGTACGACGACGACGATGATGATGATGTCGATGCTGCTGCTCGTCGCTGCCACCACCCTCGCCGCCGCGCAGAGTACGTAACCGTCTCGAACGCGTCTCGAACGCGTCCTTCTCACGAGCAAACAACACGCGTCGGACCGCGACGTGCGTCAGGGAGACGTTTTAAACGGGGCCCATTGTGGCACGGCGAATGCGTCGATTTAGCGGGCGATTGCTTCTTTGTTTTGTTCGTTTCGTCCGCTCCTTCCGAGAGCAAGAGGAGCAGAAGGGAGCAACGCGCGCGTTGCTGCCAACGCGCTCTGCTGCGGCAAAGGTCGCGGTGAGGTCTGAAGTTGGTTGTTGTTTTAGAGCCAGCACAGAAGCCCCCGTTAGTAGCGTCGTGGCTCGGAAGGCCTCCGGGCAACCTTCTGAATTCCTAACACGGACGCACGAAAGACGTTGGCACAACAACAACAACAAAAAGAAAATGCGTTGGGGACGCACGCGTGCAAGACTGCATCGTTACGTATCCTGTTTGTGCGTTAGGTGTTTATACTCTTTGGTTCTATTCGGTAAAGTCACGTAGGTAAAAAAATAAAATAACAAAAATCACGACGTTTCGGCCACAACACAAGTGGCCTTCACCATGTGTTGTGGCCGAAACGTCGTGATTTGTGTTAATTTATTTTTTACCTACGTGACTTTACCCAATAGAACCAAAGAGTATGGATCCTTGCAGTCACGAAAGCTTCAAATCTAGAATCGTTAGGTGTTTGTTTAAACTTTGTTTAACATCGACTGTCGTGCATGCCACCCCCCTCTGTCATCACACAGCAATGTGCTTGACTAATGTGCAGAGGGGGGAGGGGGGGTGCCATTTTTGCCGATAAGACATCATCAGTGTGTGAGGACTACCACACATTTGAAACGATTGAGGGTTTTACAGCACGATAATGATGATGATGATGTGGGGTGTTCTCACTCTTTTTGTATTGTCGGGGGCCGCACTGAAGGCCACCAGGGGCCACCAGGGGGGCCCGCGGGCCTTGCAATGAAGAACCATGTCCTGCAGGGTTGACTGAATATTGGCAAACCTTAAACGCCTAAATATTAATCGAGCCTTACCTTCATGTTATTAGCTTTTGGTGCTGTTCCGCATATGTATTTGCACTCAATTGTTGCTTTGAACGATGCTTTCTAGTTTTGCGCTGATTTTTTTCTGACCTCTTGTTTTTGTATTCACCTCGGTACAGAATATGCAGTAAAATTCCTCTTATCCATTGTGTTGTAGCGGACCAATATTATGGGTCCTATTTTCCGCGCCTTTATCCGCAATTATATTCTACTTATCCGGGGAGAAAATGTTTCGCGGATAATGATGGATAATTTGGATTCATTTTACATTCCACTCCAATTATTCACAAAAACCCATGGGTAATTGGAAACCGTTTCACAATTACTTATGGGTACATTCCTGTATGATGGCGGATAATTGGGGGAATAGGACCCAAGGTATTTCGAAGATTTTTCGTAGATAACAAGAGGCGTGGATATTATCTGTAACTCACATCTCCATACCTCCTTATGAATGATGTTCATCTAATTGATTTAGCACCAAACAAAATAAACATGAGAGTGGGTGATTGACTGACTGCGGTGTGGTTAGGATACGGTGAATTAGACTATCTGCACAATGCAATGAGCTCAATTAAAAAAACACCGTTTTGAATATTTTTTACAAGTGGGATAAAACACGTTTTAGTTTTCACAAAGATGCACGTCATAACTGGAGAATTCTGGGTAAAACAAAAAGCAGGAAAAATACATTGGCTCTTCACTTTATGTAGCAGAATTATTTTATTTTAATTAATTTGACCAGGTAAGGCCCACTGAACCATCCATAGAGCTCTTGTTCAGAAGCGACCTGGCCAAGACTGATAGCTCAACGAAGTGGCTTATCACGTGGAAATCTGTTTCAGCCAAATGCTCTAAACGCGTGTTGATTCTAAATGTGGAGGGGAACCCCGAAGGACCCGGAGAAAAATCCAAACGAGAACATGCAGACTCCAAACATACAGGCGTCAGGGTCTGGATCGAACCCACGATCTCCTGCCTACCAGACGAGGTAGTTAACATCTCGCCACCGTGGTGCCCCTAAATTACATCACTGGGAATTGAAAATATGTGAAGCAAATGAACGTCACCATCATGAAACAAACATTTCTCGAGCTATTCACACCACGTGGGAAAGTGCTGCCCCCGACTTTTTGCACCAGATGTTAAATTAAGGGATATTAGGGGTTGCTTTTGTGATATGCACTTCCGTGGGCTGTTATTTAACGCGGTGTGTGTTTCATTGCTCTCTCTGCAAGATAAAATACAAGTGGAACCATGATCTCATGACGAGACGCAGACCGCACAATCAGGCTAAAGCTGGTAGAAAGACCAAAGTAAATACAATCAAAAGAAACATGTAGGATGACGTATCATTTGGCCTTGTTTCACCCCTAGTTATGTGTGGGTGGCTTGATGTGTGTAGAAAACCTACAAACATGGGTCATGTAGCCCGCATGCCCAGCCACCGCATGCCCAAGTAGCTTCCGTTTGGCCGCATAGAGGGGGCTAAACGGGCACTACATGAGCTGGAGAAGAGATGGAGCTGATGCGCTACGGGAGGACGTGGAGCTGAGTGGACTTGCCGATGACTGGTACCAGTGGTGTCAAGATCGGCCTCTGTGGAGGAAGCTCGTGAAGAACGCTACTGGGCAGTTGGAGGCAGTCGCCCTCCAACGCTCACAAAAAGGCTACAATGCAGCAAGTTGGCAGAATAGGGGTACAGCTGATACATCTACCAGTCATCTCAGTCAGCCAATCCATGGCACCTGGGTCTGTCCCGTGACCTCCTGTCAGCGAGCCTTCGACACTTCACGTGGCCTCAAAGTACACCTGGCCTGGCACAGACGCCGTGATGACGAATGGCGTGTATTGGTATACAACCTGCAATTGTTTTCATAAAACAATGTAGTACGGTACTTAATCGTAATAATAAAAAGGGTTGTTAAATAGAGTAATTGAAAATGGGAGTTTCTGAATTTCCTGACAGGCTATTTGGTCTTATTGTACAACGAAAAAATGCACTAAACGTGTGAATACGCATCGCTATATGGAATTGTATGCGAGCACCGATTGAGGACACACAAGTTGCATAATGAAGTCACGAGCAGGTCTTCCGTGAAGCTGCTATGTCGCTCCCAAATGTCTTCACAATGAGGGGAAGCTGTTCTTGCAGGATATGAATTCTACCGGGTATTTTGTTCAAAAATACTATTTTGTCAGTCATATGCTTGGCGTGTCGCAAGCAGTTCGACCGCTTTAGTTGCTAATTAGTGTCGGGATCGTATCACGGGATGATATTTCAATTTGGAATCCTACAGCTAGCAGTGAAATATTATTTCGCTTGTTTACCCAGGCAAGCCAAGCTAAGCTGACAGAACACTGTGTTTTTTCAGCAGGGTTCTGTCAGCTCTTCTGCAGTAAGGGGGGGGGGGGGGGGGGGGGGTGGCGGAGATTGCTATGTCTATTCCGATTGAGTAATTTGAGGGTCATTTCTCAGATTGTTGGACCATGGCGCTGGCACACAATGGCCTACTATTGCGAATGTATGCGCCTTTGTTGAACTTCTTTCGCGCCCTACGTATCCACGAATTGGAGGTGCCAGTGACGTCACGGGATCTCTGACGTCCACTGTGAAAGGAGACCGCACGTTTCGTTTTCCGTGAATGCGCTCGTAGAATATAACCAGGGCGTCCATTGGGTTTCGAACCGCTGAAACAAAACGTCAAACGAGCTATCATGAGGCCACTTCACCGTCCCACAATAGCTTTTTTCAAGTCCCTTCGAATAATAATAGATTCCTATTCAGCAGTGGAATACAGTACCAGAGTGCTCTAAATGATTCGGAATCAATCTTTAGCTTAGCAAATTCACACACCAATATTTTAACATAGGAATGAGACATTTCAATTTTAATTGCATGGGTGGAGGAATGGCTAGAAACGCTACGTTAGAGCTCGGCTGACTGTGGAATCTGGTCCATTCTGGTTGATAAAACAAATGCTGCAGGAGGATATCATTGGGCTGCAAGGTCAATGGGCTGATGGGACTAAAAAAAAATACTTTTTTTAATGTGGAGACACGAACAGAAGTATATCTTGGGGCCTTTTTGCCAGTATCAAAGTATGAAAATAAAGAATAGCTTTTACCTTTTCTGGCAGTAAAACAGGTTTTTCGATGTTCAAAAACCAAATAGAGACCTTTTTCAAGGAATCTCAGTTCTGCATTAATGGCACGTACTTGTGGTGAAAATGCAAACAAACATGCTCTGATAATGTGTGCATTGTCTATGATAACACGATGTAACACAATTTTTGTCCCTGGGTACTAAGGGTTATTTTTAATTACCTATGCCTAAAAAGTACATAAAATGGCTATTATTTCCCACAAACTTTGCACGTTGAGGCCACGTGAAGTGTCGAACGCCCACCGGCAGGAGGTCACGGGGCAGACCCAGGTTCCAAGGGCCGATGTACCAACTGTACCCCCCTACTGTAGCAGCTGCACACAAACATCCATCAACTTTTCCACATCTCGCAGCGGATTTTGGCTCACCATCGAACCCACTTCCTTCCGATATTAGGAAGCCACTGGAGCGATGCACTTTAAAATCAAGATTGAAAACGTATTTCTTTAAAACTGCTTTTTTTCTTTCTACGTGACTTTACCCAAAGAACCATAGAGCAATTCCTGCAGTCACGAAAGCTTCAGATCTAGTTTGAACCACCTCTATCGGAAGGATTTCCACACAACTCACACTTAACTTCTAATTTAGCAATCTTTGGAAGAACGCATTGCATTACACTTACAAATTTGACTGAGTTTGTTTTCTCAAACTTCGGAAGATTCCCCCACCCCCCACCCCCCCCCGGGTTTTATTTTCCACGATGCTTATGGTTCCACCACAAATCGTATCTGCACAAACCATGGCAGTAGATGCGGCTACCTGGTGCACAAATGGAACATTAAACAACTTTCCAG